CCCTCCTCCCTCCTCCCTCCTCCTTAAGCCGAGCAAATTCACGAGTCTTTCAATCTGAACAACAAAGTACTTAATCATGATGCTTCCGATCAACTGAGTCAACTTCTGACCGCGTTAATAAAAACAAGAACTTTGGTTTGGGTCCAAAACAAAGTCAGTAAACAAACTAAGCACGTCCTCTTAGGGAAGTTAGAAAAGGCTGTCACAATTCGAAAACTCGTCACGTTCGGAATTCGAAATCACACATTAAATACTTTCTTAATATAAACTGAAATAGAAATCATACTGAACTGGCTAACTAACTGACGACCTAAATATAAATTAACCAAATGCTTCATAACATCTTTCCTGCAATAATAACTCGTGACCAGTACAGTGTTTTAGACAGCGCTAATTGAAACTCAAAGCAAAAATAAGTAACAGCATATTAAAGCAAGTTTTATGATTGATTTACTTTGGAGATTGAGTAAAATATTGTGGTTTGCTAGAAGCGAGCAGATCCTCCTTGTTTGCTGAGGTGTAGGAAAATAGTTGGTGTCCGATGTACTGATCAATCACTGACCATACATGTATTTTGCAATAGCTGAGTTCCATAATTATTTGATTGTTTTATTGCCGAGTTCATGTCGCCAACTTATATACGGCGGTCACTCTGTCAGTTTGTGAGGAAGTGATCCGTCACTGCCAATAAATGAGCGTGAAAATAATTACTCATGAGCAGAACATTTGGAGCAAAACACATTTAGACTGCTTAACGTCTAAGGAAACCATTTCTTGTTGGAAGTTATTTGAAGGTCACGTGGTCGACGTTCAGCCAATGAAAAGGATGGACAAAGAGAATTATCATAATTATCGTTTCTACTGCAAATAAAATCCAAATACTTATGATGAAAATAATAATATTAACAGTAATATAGTTATGATATTAATGAAAATGATGATACTAATTAAAGCAATGATGATGAAGAGGCTAAAGCTTTACACATTAGAAGTTGAGAAACTGAATGAGAGGAAGACTGAGATGAGCAAAATTCGATTTAATAAATCTCTAAAAATCTCTAAAAGTCGTTTCCATGAGGCGTAATAAATCAATGGTCGGCGAATTTTGAAACTCACATATATCTGTTACCATGAGGTGTAATAAATCGGTAGCTGGCGAATTTTTGACTCCCACAAATCGTTGTTACCACCTGGATGGTAGTTGTTGTAAACTGGTAATCTTGACACCGCTGGATGCAGTAACTTAATCTAATTATTCAATCTGTTGCTTAGTTTTGTCATTTGCAGAGAAGCAAAAATTTACCCTCGTTAGCTGAAGCATTAGTTTTCGGCATGGGCCATAAGCGGTATTTAGAATACTTCTGAAGAAGAGAAATGAAAAAAAGCATGATCGAGCCGGTTTTCCCAATAATCACGTGAGTGGCTTTTTTCCTAATTTTTATCCTCGTGCTCAAAAATATTATGAAATTTTTGTTGGCAAATATTTCAATAACCCTCGTTGAATAATTGTCAAGTGTCAGACGGAGCACTGAGACGCGGAGAGAGATATACTAACTTGGACAAGTCACGTGGGAAAAAAGGAAAAATGGACAAAAATTAATATTTACCGATCTCAGTGGACGGCTTATTTTTTCGGGCGGAATAACTGAACCTTAACAAAGGCTTTCCTTCACCACGCGCTCTAGTTAATTAGCCCACAGTTGTTGCGACGCTCTGAAAATTAATTCTGAGAGTATAGTAAGAGCTTTTAGTAGTTTTATGAACTTGTATATTATCGAAATTGCAAAGTTTTAATTTGTTCAAAGAGCATACATCCAACTAGATGTTTAGGTCAATAACTTTTACTTTTAGTCCAGGCAGATTGCCAAATATCACAATAAAATAAATTTTGTTGTGGCGGAAGCGACATCTATCTGCTAAAGAAATAAGTCTGTACCGAGCATTTAACTTAAATTCCATGTCTATGAGGTAATATTCAGTTTTGCTAGGTAAATGATTGCACATGATGTCGTTATATCGAATAGAAGGACGGTTTCTATGCCAACTGAAAGTGTTTTGACAGCATATTTTTAACTCATACAAAATCAGGTTTTACAATCTTTGCAAAATTCAACCTTGAAAGCAATGATTACAACGTGAAAAGGTGAACAGGTGTTTCCATATGCAGATAAACTTTTCAGATTTAAGAACTCTTCCACTGTCTTTCAGGCAATCATTGTTTTCCAAAAAAAGGCAACCTAGTGTTAAATATTCATAAGGCCGTTAAGTCGTCTTAAGCTGCAGTTCACCAATCATTATCAAATTTGATGTGTCGAAATACAAATTAACTTCCCACCGCCAACAGCAGTATACGCCAATAATTAGTTATTTTAAAATATTGAACCAAGTCGTTCATTGCACCGAAGCATGGTTTTATCCTCAAATATTAAACATTTCTGACTCAGACAACACAGTTTGCCGCATTTGGAAGACACCAAAATGATGGGACCCGTATAATTTCCAAAACATGTTATGGTTAGTATGTTAACAGCCCTAACGACTTTCGTTTCATTAAATTTGCGGAAACTCATCATTTGAGAGGTGAGTTATAATTTCTTTCTTACTGAGGTTTGCCGTTGTTGCCAATATATTCTCCTTTCCAAGCTAAAGATGGCGGAAAGTTCATCCTGACACGCACCTTGTCGCACCTGTGTCAGATACAGCAGTGTTTAGTAGAAAAGTAACAACGAGTTAACAAAATACACAAGTTGGCGTCACTTTATTTAAAAGAAAAGAGTCAGCAGTTTACGGCCAAGGTTATGTACATTCCGTTGTGTGTGAGGCGAACAAACTGATAAATGGGAATTCATATCGTTTAAACCGGCTACGTTTCCGTATAGCTTGCGAGGGGTCTTTCTGTAATGCACGATCGCTGAATCGTTTAGGCATTTCATGCAGTAATTGGTATCGTTTTCATCGCAGGAAACAACATTATGCAAAAAATGATCTATTTTGCAGGTGTAATAATCAGAGGTGGGAAATGAACGTGTCTGTTTACCCCAGCAACCAATCACATGCAGCCGTGCAGCCCAGTTATGGAAATATTTTGGCTGCTATTTTGGGAAGTGTTCTGATAATCTCCACGTTAATTGGGAATTCTCTCGTATGCATAAACTTTTACTTGTTTAAGGAACTCAGAACTGTGTGCCATTATTTCGTCATAAGTCTTAGTGCAGCGGACATCTTGGTTGCTTTGGTAGCTATGCCTTTCTGGTGTGCTTTGCAGGTCACTTCAAATCAATGGTTGTTTAGTCAGGAGTTGAGAATTTTTTGGAACTGCATGGATATTTTGTGCGGAAGCGCTTCAATTATGAACCTTGCTGCTGTTTCAATCGACCGACATGCAGCTATTACAGATCCCTTTTCCTACCAAAATGTTATGACTTCCGTACGAGCAATCGGCATGATTGTTTTTGTTTGGCTATACTCCTTACTAGTCTCAGGACTGCGGTTAGCGAGTTGGCCCACGAAGTCAAGCTATATGCTTTTCATCGCCCTTTCTAGCTTCTTCTTGCCCTTGTTTATAATGATCGTTATGTATGTAAAGATTTACTTTGTTGCAAGAAAACAAGCGCACCTTTTAAGAAGAGGCAGGAGCTATGCGAAGGATGTGAAAGCTGCCAAGACAATCGCTCTTTTGATTGGTTTGTTTGTCATTTGTTGGGGACCATTTTTCGCCATCATTCTTTGCTTTGCTTACGATCAGTCATGTCCAGTACCAAGCTCACTGTTTAACGTTATCAAGTGGATGGAGTACACAAGCTCATGTCTGAATCCAATTATCTACACTTTCCTTGATCGCAGTTATAGAAGAGCCTTTCGTAAACTTTGCAAGCTTGTACGCAAAAGTCGTCACCAATCCAATTCGTCTACTACTGCAGGATCTCAGCTAAGAGACGGAGGCTCGTTTACTGGCAGCCATCAGGCCTCGGACAGTGTTGTGGATCCAAGACGCAAGCGAACTGGTTCAATTATTGGTGCCTGTTTGGGACCCAGCAAAGATTCAACAATCTAGTCAAAATTAATCAATCAGAAAGAGAAAAAGTTATGTGTACAACATCATTCTCTTGTGTAATAAACCGATGGCCAGCACTAAGATACAAAAATACCTACCATGAGAACTCTGATACTACCCGCTTATACTCTATTTTTACTTTTGGAGTAAATTTTTGCTTTTGGTGAAAAGAATTTTCCTTGAGAAAAGTAGACGGGTTGTTTTCTAGCTCTACTCTTACTCTTGATACCGTTAAAATGGGATTCATTTACAATTTTAGCTTTCTAATCATTCTTCTCTATCCCGGGTCACCAGAATGGTGAAATATTACCATGTAGCATGAAAAACTGTCCGTCTAGGATAAAAATAACTGACTGACGTTACCTCTTTCCAATAACGGAAAGTCAAAGTTCTTTAGAAGATGTTAATAAACATTTGATATTACGTAAATGCAGTGCAGAGGACCTCTTTTTTTCAGTATGAAACCCATTTAAGTTTTCTTTTTTTGTTTTTTTCACAGGTAAAATTATTTGGGTGTAGAATAAAGTTTAAGATTGGAGAAAATTCTGTAGATAGAGAGTTTGGCACAGCCCTGCATTCTTCAGTGCAAATGTTTATTCATCAGCATCACTTCTTGCACTGAAAACCAACTCTACAAATACTCTTGTCAGAGCATGGAATATACGTCTTTGTCTTAGTGGTAGCGAAAGGTTCCCCTTCAGTGGTCATGCCGTTTCCACGCTAAATGAGTCAAACTGTCTAGACAATCCTGTAGCCGAGTTAGAAACTAACCAAGCCCTTCGATACCCTGGGGATTAACTTTCTCGTTGAAAAATACATCGAAACAAAATCAAATGGAAAACACCATAAATTACCTTGCAAAGGTACTGGTTATAGAGTCACGTGCATCAAAAGGACCCCTGTTTACAATCATTATGAAATCAAGGACGAAAACTACACTATTACAGTTGGCTATGATAAAAGTAGTTGGCAGAGAAAACTATACAAAAATCTAAATATAGACTAATTGTACCAACAAAATGCCATGCTGAATAAGAATGTCTTAAGTTTCCGTTTATTAACTATAACTAACTATTATAAACTATTTGCTTACGCGGCTTCACATCTACTAGCCCACGTGAAGCCCTTGTGCAATGCCGTATGCCCGCGGTACACTACACTGAAGCTCGATACTCGAGTATGCGCACTTCATTGCGATCTGCCGGTGTTTCCACACACTAATGGGGTATCCAAGTTACGCGCGCAATCGCGCCTGCACATTACCTTCTCCCCCCGCCCTTCCATTACGTAATGGCTAAGATAGTGCCCGTGGTACAGTTGGCCATGCATGCTAAAAGTAGCACCTTCTACGGTCGGTCGTACGGTCGTACGGTCGTACGGTCGCGCGACCAAATTTTTTCGGCTTGATGGGTTACTACTATTTCGTACAATTATGCTACGCTTAGGTAGTAGGTTGCTTCACATGTTGGACAAGACCCATCGCTTCTAAAAGATCTCTGTAATGTATGTTATTACGATCGGTAGGTACATCCATAAGGATATTAAAATCACCAGTAATCAATAACTTATCGCTGGACATGACGACAGATTCGAGGTATTCAGCAAACTCATGAAAAAAAACCCCAACAGTTATTGGATGATCTTCTGAATACGGCGGTCTGTACGAAATAACAGTGCGCAAACGAGTAGGACCAAAACTGACCAGCCATTCGGAAACCTCAAACGACGCTTCTAATCAGAATAAACATTACTGACATTGATCCCTTCTTTGACTAACTATGCAGTGCCACCGCCCTTGCGGCCAGGTCGCTGACAATGTGCAAGTGTTCTATATCCAGGCGGAGTGAGCTCGCTCAAAACAGCAGAATGTTTATCTTTAGGCCAGGTCTCACATATGGTAAACAAATCCGCCCTTACATCACACACTGGGTCCACAAAAACAGCTGATTTATTATTCAGCGACCTCGTACTTAGAGTATACAAGGTCAACTGTTGATCATTCGGATACAAACAAACACGATCCAGTGTTATTAGGTTTCAGTGTTTCGCGTCGATCTGGAGCGTTGGGTATTTTGTTTCAAACCATTGAGGCGTGATGGAGTGTGATTAGGTCCTAAGTTGAGCTTAACATCATCACAACATCAGCGGACGGAATGAAATGGTGTTGAAATAGTGTATGCACGGGAGCCTCTGTCTCTTAGCACCAGAGCGTCTCAGGAATGTAGGTCGAGGTGTGCCTCTGAGTAGATCAATACTGATTACTCTTTTACAGTGACTCGCGCTCCATGACTCGGTGAACAATGCACTTCGTTCAGCTAATGTGGCCCTATTGTTCACGATGCCAATTTTACACTTTTGCCATCTAAGACTACAAGTCGAAGGAGATCCAAATATCGATAATTCCGGCACCAATGCTTTCCTAGTGAGCTCAAAACTCAAGGTGAAGATTCCACATTTTATCTTCGCGTTTTATCTTCTTTCTGTTTTCCGAAGAGGGGTAGCAGAGAGGAGAAAAGGGACTCAGAACACGGGGGTGGACATGCCGTGCCGCGTGCTTTCTAATCTGGAATATCTAAACTACCAATTTTAGTCTGTGTTTCACTGAGATCGAAGCCTTTTACGTTTAAGAGTACTTCTTTCCACTTTCTAAAGGAGAACGTTTTCGTACCACCATTTTCGTCCATAAAATTCAAATCCAAAGCAGGATGCTTTGATGTAAGGTAGTTCTTTTCATTGATACTTGAGCATCACAGCCCACTCGCATCTTAGCAATGCAAAGGCCCTAAGGAATTCATAGGTTCGTCACAAAGCTACGGTTCGGGCATACTTTAAACTGGAAGACTCGGTGCTGCTCGACCGTACGATCACTGATTAGCTGCCTTTTTTCTGACGAGGTGTAAATAGTCGTCGGGAAGTAAGCCGCCGTCATCATGATTTTTAGGAGCGTAGGCGGAGTTAATATGCCAAGCTTCCAAACAAAGACCTATCCCATCCAATTTCATGGTTAGTTAGGCATGTGTGCTCCGATAAAGCTGAATTTTCTTTTTTGCAATAGAAAACCACTTTTTGATGCACTTTCAAACGTGTACCAAACTGACCTTTGGTCTGTCCGAGGTATTCCTGAGGCGGATCCAGGAGAGGGGTTGAGGGGGTTGCAACCCCCCCTTTGAGGAGCATTAGTCTCTTGTTATTTTTTTATTCTTCCTAAATTAATCATAAATAAAATTTTTTTACAAAGTTTTTCCTCTTCCACCATTGGACTACTTGTCAAGTTATGAAAAGGCAATGTACATCTCGCGAAAGGTGTATGCGTCAAAATTAAGGAAAGGCTGACAGCAGAGCTAAGGACTAAGGACCTTCCTTTCACGATCATGGCTGATGAGAGTACTGATCCACACTCAAACCAGGAGATCTCATCTTTATGCTTGAGGTTTGTGGACCAGTCTTCGCCAAACGATCCTCATGTCAAAGAATGCCTGATTAATTTCATGCATTTGGAACGAACAAATGCCACCATGATTTCAAGAAAGATTTTGGAATCTCTCTCTGACCCATCTGTTTCTTTGGATCCTAGCAACATCTGGGGTCAGGCATATGACGGAACTTCCGTTATGTCAAGTGGAAAGGAAGGGGTGCAGGCCAAGATAAAAAAGATCAGTCCGTCAGCTCTTTTCACACATTGCTCACTACCCGAACCTCTCCATCGCAGCATCATGCAAACTGTCAGAAGTGCGAAATTTGATAGGTCTGATTAGCGAGGCATATCAATTTTTAAATAACAGCCCAAAGCGACAGCAGCTGTTTGAGTTCACTCTGAAAGAATACCTGCCTGAGAATTCCCACAGTAAGCCTCCAGGTCTATGCAAGACACGCTGGGTGAAAAGACACATGTGCCTAGGTCTTTTCCTGGAAATGTATGAGCTCCTAATCACCTTTCTAGATGCTATTATCTCCCCCCACGAGTACCCAAACTTGAAATCGTGTACTGAAGCTGGAACTGGGACAAAGATACTATCACAAAAGCCCAAGGACTGAAGGCCTCTTTGTTGTCATTCCAGACCGTAGTGGTTTTTTACTGCGACCAAGAATATTCTTGATGAAGTCAAAACTCTTGCATCAAAGCTGCAGAAACGGGACCAAGATATTTTTGAAGCTTACATGATGGTTAACGAAGTAATTGGAAACATCAAGTCCGTTAGAAAAAACGGCAACTCTCAAGTTTGGTACAAACAAATACCAGACCTACACCTTGCTGAAAAATTGGGAATTGTTTAAGCTAGTCCCAGAAAGACAAGCATACAGAGGAATCGCTCAAATATTCCCAGTTGTAGCCCAATTGATCATTACAAAAAATCTGTGGCTATACCCCTTCTTAATTCTTTGATTATTCAAATGGAAGACCGATTTTCTGACGAAGATCGCTACGCCCGTCACTTCCTTTACCTAGTACCCTCTATTATAGTTAATAACACCTTGGAGCTATCTGAAGCAACAGAAGGCATGTTGTTCTAGGAGAATGACCTTCCATTTCCCAAACCCCTTGGGAATGAGCTGCGAAGATGGCAAATTATGTGGCAGTCAGCAGAGAAGGAACTTCCAAGCAATCTTCTACTAGCACTTGTCGCGTGTGATGAGGATGCTTTTCCAAACATCCGTCGTCTTCTTCAAGACGTGCACCAGATCAACGATGTGTGAAGAGCGCTTTTCAGACCTCGCTATTGTTGCTGTGCATTACCCTGAGAGATTCGAGGTAAACGAGATATGCGATGCAATTATAAAAGCTCATCCTAGGAGACTCTTACAGACTACGTTGTTTGATTAACGAGGTATGTAGAGAAATGACAAATAACTATTTTTGATACTACTGTCCCTTTCAATCATGCACTTTTATTTTTGAGTCTCTTGCTGAGAAATAAGAGAAACTCCAGATTTTGTATCATACCTTCACTACGCTTTTCAAGTCTCAGGAATTCTGTAAATGGCGCTCTAGAGGGAAAAATCTGGCATGAGCTCCGGACCCCCTAAGAGCTCGCGCCAGAGGCACGGGGCCGTCACTCGCCTTCCACACCATTGGTGTTAAAGGTTACTACAATAGTGTCAACCCCCTTCCCTTGAAAAATTATTGGATCCGCCCCTGTATTCGTTATCACAGTCATTGCAAGGAATAGAATAAATGGCGTCGGTTCGTTGTTCTTTCGTGACAGGATCCTTAGGTTTGGCAAAAATATGCCCGAAACACTTAAAAGGTTTTTG